CGGGCAAGGGCCCCCCCGGGCACCCACCCCCACTGGCAGGGGACCACGCAAAGAAGCCCTTTCTTCTGTTGCCATCAGCCAGGCCAGAAAAAAAAGGACTTATTTTCTCTAAGGGAAGTAGCCAGGTTAAGAACTATGGAGACATGGGCTCCCCAGATCTCAACAGATAAATGAACAGAATTTTCATTTTTGCAAAATCATCACTGTTGGGGTGGGGGATCCCATTGTGGGGACCGTGGGTGCAGCACGCCTGGCCTGGGCCCTGAGGGTGGGGGGGGCTGCTCCCTGCCCCTCCGTGAGCTCCTCTCGGCAGGTCTGCCCACGTGGATGGATATACAGGGGCTTCAACACGGCGCCACCAACATTCTCTTTATAAACGTGAGTGGGTTCTCCAGGCAAACTATGCACTATTTCATGGTCAGAAAGAATCAAAGGAAGTTTAAATGAGGGTGGAGTTAAACTGTGCTAAATTACAGTAGTGCTTATTAGTAACTAGATTTCAAAAGGTTACAGAAAATTTACATTCTCTACACAAAACTGCATCTCCTGCACAGACAACATCGACATTGACACAGGAAGGAAACTGATTGTCCATTCTTTGCCCAGGAAGTCTCGGTACTTTATAGATTCGTCTTTACCTCTTTTTTTGTTGTTGTTCTTCTGAAAAAGCAGTTAAATTTTTTTTCTTTTCTTTTTATACTAGGGACGTGGAGATGTTAAAACGACAACAAAAAATATATATATAAAAACAGGAATGAAATCTGTGAGAGAATATTTTTGGTTCTAAAGACGGGTGCATCCGTTTGTCTTCGCCCGAATCCCTTGCCGGAGACCACACGAGCAGTGACATTGCACGGAGAGGGCAGCTTTGGATTCCCGCCGCCGTCACTGAAACCACCGGAAGGCGGCTCCCGTCGGAAGCATCACCTTCTGGCGGGGGCGGGAGACAAAAACAAGGAGAGAGTTCAGTCAGGGTCCGGCTGGGCCTGGTGCAAAGACGCTCCCCCGTGGAAGGCCTCATGGCGGAAAGATGGGCATGGAGTAAAGGCAGCCACCCCATGAAGTTCCTGCCATCCTGGTCAGGCTAGAGAAGGAGCCTTGACCTACTGGGCCACCGAAGGGCCCGAAGCACCCTGAGGCCTCCTGAGCCATTGTGCCCAGGAACTCTCCTTCCAGACAGGAACAAACACCCCTTTCCCTGGTCCAAAGGCCACAAGCGCCAGGTGGTGGTGGTGCTTCTGAGAGCTGTGCGCACATTTCTGTCACATGAACATGTAAGCATGTGCACTGGACACATATATGAATGTGTACCCCAAGCTCTGCCAGTATGTAGCGTGTTTGGAACTGCAGTAGCGAAGGATACTTGCTGTGTTTATTGAGAGACTGCATCTATAATAAGACTATGTGCATTGGGCAGGGGTATGTGTGCGTATGTGTCTACACTAGACAAGGGTGAGCACCTTTGTGTGCCTATAGGTGTGTTCTGTGGGCAGGAGCGCAGATATATGAGTTTTGGGGCTTGGGGAGCAGGTAGCCACAGCTCAGATGCCAATATTGTTTTCCAAACATTCTGGACATTTGTGTCAAGCCCACTCGTAGAGGGGTGGGGATGAGCACGGACAGCAGGCTGAAAAGATGCTTTTGTACCCAGGCCTGGCACCATAGCTAAGCTGCCACAGCTGGAGGCACAGTGACAGGCCCTGCCATGAGGGTGGAGAGAAAGCAATATAGGAACTGTTTGGGCTTTTTAAAGCCAATCCAATAGTGGACAGGCCATGCCCACCCCCTAGCCCCAGGCTCACCCCCTAGCCCCAGGCCCATAAGATCCCTGGCCATTAGTTGTGCAACCAGACTGATCTTGGGGCCCCAAGACACCCCAAATCTGTCAACTAGGTGCCTAGATCCAGGGTTCTTCCAGGCCTCAGAGCAGGGTGGTCAGCATTAGAGCTGCTCTATTTTTGGGTGGCCTTGGGGAAAAGTCTGGGCTCTGAAGGGGCAAGTGAAGGGGTTAACCCTCAAAGCCACAGGGTCCATAGGACAGACCTCATCAAATGGGGCAGGGGAGAGTCTCAGAATCTTAGGTCATGGAGAAGCAGCTTTAGGACACATCTGAAAGTCAGAAACTTAGGACCCAGAACTTGAGGAAGGGGTTCAGAATGCCGGGGTCTGGCTGGTAACCCTAGGCCCCTGCCTGGGGTTTTATGCTCGCCCTGCAAACTACAACCTAATGGGATCTCAGGATGTGGCTCTGACTTCTGGGGCAGTGAACTGGTGTCTCGAAGACTTGGCCTAGAATCCCAGACCCAGGAATTCGCTGGGCGACCCCAGATCCTCGCCAGGAAAGGTGGAGTTGGGGGCTGGGGGTGAGTTTGGACGGCCAGACAGATGCAAGAGCCCACACACCTCCCTCTAAGGCGCCGTTACCTCCAGAGCAGCGGAAGGCTTCTTTTTGAGTTCCTCACATTTTCTGAACTTGCAAATCTGATGGCCAGTCTTTCGGTTCCTACAACTGCTGCACTGCTCGCAGTTGATGCGCCGCCGGCAGGGCGCGCACATGCCGCAGCGTTTCCGCTTCTTCTTGCCCGAGCTGATGGCAGAGGCCAGCTCACCCTGCATGGGGTACTCAGCCAGGCCTGCCATGTGCAGCGCGCTCTCGGCCAGGAACACGCCCGCTGGGGTCATAATGAAGAGGCCTGGGTTGATGGGGAAGGCGCCCAGGTAGGGGAAGTCGGACTGGCCATTGAGGGCTTCGGCACCCGCCACAGCCTCCATGTCGGGCAGGCCTGCGCCTGCCTCGCTCATCAGCGGTAGGTGCTCCTGCACCACGCGCTTCAGCATCTCCGTGGACTGCGCAAACTGCTGCAGCGTCAGCTGTCCCTCGGCTGCCAGCTCCGTGGCCCGCTCGGCCTTGCTCAGCAGGCTGGCCACAGCACCACTTTTGTGCTTTGAGGTAGAGTTGCTTTTGTCCACAGCCATGGCTGCCGCCAGGTCGTGCCCATTGGCCAACAGGGAGGCAGCGGCTGCAGCCGCAGCAGCCTTTTCGGCAGACTCCCCACCCATCATGCTGCCACCACCACTGCCCCCACTGCCCCCGAAGGAAGAGTAGTGGGAGAGAGGACGGGAGCGACGCAGGCTCTTGTTGAGGGGTTCGCTGATGATGCCACTCTTGTTCCGACGCTCGGGGGGTGGTGCATCATCCGCCACCGAGGCTGGAGTAGCAGCGGCTACCGCTGCACTCTTGTCGGCCACTCCTGCCTTTGGGCCGCTGCCACTGCTGCCATTGGCACTGCTGCTGCTGCTGCTGCCGCTGGTGTCCTGGGAGCCACTGCTGAGGCTCGACATGGTGGGGCCGAGGCCCAGACCCCGCTGCTGGGGGAGCCTACCAACTGCGGGGGGCGGGTGTCCTCAGTTAAGCCCGGTTCCTGCTGCCTACAACAGAGATGCCTGGTGGGCCTCGATGCTCAGGGCAGGTACATGGTCAGGTGTCCACGTGGAAGTATCTTCACTCTGTCAGGACAAGAGGATGCAGGGTCAGGGCAGTGGTAAACATCTCCAACACCACTACCACCACCACCACCACCAATGACCATATTGCCACTGTAACAATGACAAGCCTGAGTAGGAATTTAGTAAGTGCTGCCCCGCCCTCCCCATGAGGAATTTTTTATCTGTACTATCTCAGTTAAGACTCATTAGAACCCTACCAAGTACTGGTTAGTGATACCCTATTTAACAGATGAGGAAGATAAGATATAAGAGAAGAAATGACTAGCCCATGGATACACCAAATAGCCCAGTCTTTACAGCCAGACCTGTCTGCTAGAGTCAGGGAGACAGGATGGGAAGAGGTAATCCTTCTTGAGCTGAGGGTAGGAGAGAGCTGGAGATGTTTATTAAATTTGAGGGGTTATAGAATCATCTTCCACTTCCTAATCTTCCTTCCCTGACCCAACTACAAAAAGGGGTTGGAACAGCTTCTAAAGAGCTTGATGGTATAGACCAACATGTGTGGGAAGCTGCCCTATTTCCTTATTGGATATTCCTATAACGCATCAATTATCTCGCAGCTCTGACAAGACCTGCAGGTAAAGGAAATGGTTTACCTTTAATAAAGTTTGCCAAATAGAGCTCAGAATCCTTATTTCAAGGAGCATGTATCCTCCTGAAAGAGGGCAGGCAGGATACTGTGCCAGAGGACAAGCCTTCTGCAAACGTGCGGGACATGCTTGTTCACACATTGGCACACATTTCCTTCTCATTCTCAAACTCAGACCCCACCCTGGTCTCTATTCAGGCCTCTCACTGCTGTGCTCTGGGCCTAACTCCCAGATGGGACTAGGTGGAAGTCCCAGTGAGAGCCTAGAGCTGGGCTATGGACAGGAGGGACTTCTGGCTAGTGCAAGTTGGAACTGAGAGTAGGTGTGACCCTTCCCAGGACAGAGCCTATTCTGCTCAGGCTCCAAGATGAAGGCACGTGAGCAGCCAGGCTCCTTGGCCAGCAAGCAGTCTGGGAGAAACTATTCCAGATGGAATGGAGTAGTGGCAGTTTCCTCATCAGCCCTGGCTCTCTAACTGTCTGCCTGCCTAGGCCCAGCAATCCCCAGGAGAGAGGTAGGAAGAAAGGGTCAGGCCTGAGCAGCTGGCGGCAAGGGGGAGGCACACATCTGGCGGGGCCTGTCCCACCCTGGGCTTGGGGGCAGCACACACTGTATCTTTGTCCCCAGGCAACCCCACCATCCCCCAGTCACATGACTCAGCCTGTCACAGGAGGTCATTTAGTCCAACCCTCTGCACTTACATAAGGGGAAATTGAGGCCCCGAGGAGGCAGGGCCCCTGCCCCCAGGACTGCTAAGAAGCAGCAACAAAGAGGGCCGAGAGTATGAAAGGGAAACACTGTCCCCAGGGTGAGGGGAGTGGCAGGCGTCAGCAGAAAGCCAGGTACTCCCTGCCCTGCCCTAGTGGGCACCAGCCCACTTAGCTCTTTCCTAGTAAAGGTAGATGAACGGTGAAGAAGAGCTGGGTAAGCGGGCAGGCTGTACCAGCACAAATTCAGGCTGGGTTGTGGGTGCCACAGACATCACAAGTCCCAGTAAGAGGAAGGGGGCTGTATATGCCCAAGGACAGCTATGTTCCACCCTGCTTCCTAAGGGCCAAGCCTAGGCCAGCTCTTCAGTCCCTCTCCTCAGAGAACAGTACCCTGCCAGGCATCAGTGACCCTGGTTAGGTGTTGAGGACTAGAGCCAGTGAGATCAGGGCCAGAGACCATCACCCCAAGTCAACGCACCCAGCCCCTGCTCATCCATGCTCAACTAACACCCCTGGACCACATTCCCAGCAGCCTCATACAGGGGAGGGCAGGCGCCCCCGGGTTGGAGAGCTGGGGAGGGGAGCAGTCTGCGCCCTAGACCCTGTGTGCGTGTCCCCCCCGTCCGCCCCACGGCCTGCTGGCTGGTGGCAGAAATCGATAGCGGCATTAACGCTGCTCTTGCTCTACTCTCCCCTCCCTCCTCCCAGCTCCAGAATCTGGCTCTGCGTGCGGGGCTGGCAGGTCAATTAGAAGTCAGCTCCCTCCGACACAGCCCGGCCTGCGTTCAGGGCTGGCGCTCTGGCTGAGCCTCCCTGCTTTTGTCTCCATCCTGAGTCTCTTGTGGTGGGGACCAAACCTCATGTTCTGTTCCTCTCTGGCCTTCTCTTTGAATCTTTCTGATCTTCCATTTTTCTGTCCTTCCTCAGGGACTACCCTCTCCTAGCCCCCCAGGTCCTGGGACATGCTGAGCCTGGGACCAGAAGACGTGATATGTCATTGAACAGGTGCTGCAGGCAGAACACTGGTTTGTCAGCCACAGAAACTGAAAGTAAGGGATACACAAGGATAACTGTCCTCAAACCCCAGAGTGGGTAAATACCCACATCTAGTCCCCGAGGCCTGGTCCCTATGTTTGTTCCTAATCTGTCCCTGTACCTGGCTCATCAGCTACTTCAGACCCCGGGAAAAGCTGATGCCCCGGTCCTAGTGGACCCTTGACCATAGGATCCTTTTGCCCTCCTCATGGAATGGGAGAACCTAAGAAGACCGTCTCCCAGGCCCCAGTCTCCTACTTAGCAGGGTACACAGCAACCCCTTCCCAGGCCAGGAAGGGCCTGGCAGTGCCAAGGCAGCAGGGGAGGAGCTGGGGCTGCGTTGAAGCGGAGCGGGAATGAGCGGGAGGGAAAGCTGGCGGGCAGGCGGGCGGCGGCGGGCGCATCCATCATCGGCCCTGCCAGGAACGCATCCAGCCCCCAAAAAGAAATACTGCGCCTGAGGAGGGACAACAAAGGGCTCCGTTTCATCAGCAATGCGGAGCCAGCGCCCCGCCGCCCCGCCAGGCGCGGTCAGCCCACAAAGGACCCCTTTGTCCATGCAGGAGCCAGGCAGGCCGGGAGCTGGGACCAGGGTCTGACGGGCGGGGACAGAGTCCAGAGGGGGCGGGTGGTGAGGGGGGAGCCAGTCATGGAGAGCTGGGGGGCAGCGAGGGACATAGGGGCAAAAAAACACAGACAGGTGGTAGGGATAGAGGATCACGAGACAGAGAACTCGAGGGGTGGGTTAGAGAAAGGGGGATTGGAGAGGACAGGGCAAAGGGTCAAGGCTAGAGGACACAGCATCATGGAAACAGAGGCTGGGGGCCGGGATGAGAGAGATCCAGGGCGTCAATCCAGATCAGAAGCTTGACAGTTTGAGAGACACGGAGGCAGAGCTCTGACTCAGGGACCTGAGGACCAAGAGAAAGCAGGTGGATGTGCCCACAGGAAAGGGAAGAAGAGGGAGAGGTTGGGGAGACCAGATGAGACCCACCTCCTCTAGGGCCCATCCCACTCTGGCCCGCGGCCTGGGAGGAGATGGGAGAAGGGGTAGAGGTCAATGGATTCTTGGTCTCAGGGCCTGACCATGGGGCCCAACCTCCTGTGGGCACAAGCTCATTGGCTAAGCTTGGAAGAGAGGGACGGTTGAAGGTGGGGCCACTCTTCTGACAGTGGGGCCACCTCCTACATCTACCCCCAGGCCCTGGCCAGTCCCCAACGGCACAGACCCTTCCTCCTCTCTAACCAGCTCCCACCATCAAGTGACAGGTTCCCTTAACTGACTGACTAACCCTATCAGCTAGCATGTGCTGAACACCTACTGTGTTCCAGGCCCTGTGCTCTTATGCTTTATAGGTCTTCTCTCCCTCGACTCCTCCCCAGAACCTGAGAGATAGGAACTATTAACCAATTGTGGAGATGATGACATAGAGGCCGACAAGTTCAAGCTGTCAGGCCAAGGTCAAACAGCTAGTGCTGTTTAAGGAAGAACTTGAACCCAAAGCTCAAGTGTTAGTCACCACTCTGCTCTGTGACAGCCTTTGCTCACCTGGGCAACTGACAAGAGTAGCCCAAGGCAAAGTGACCAAAGATGTCCCTATCCCCCAGAGTTGTTACCATGCCTGTCACCTTTACGTGGTCAGGGGGCGAGCTGTCCCAGACCCCAGGGGTTTGCCCCGACCTGGAGGACTTGGAAATACCCAGGCAGGAACCTAGAATTCTGGGCCAGTGACGTCATAATGCCAGCTGGCAATGAGGTCATCAGAGGTGGTAGCCATGCCCTCCCTCCACCCTCAGCCCCAGAGGGACCAAGACTCAGCCCCAGCAGGGCTCTGTCCTGAGCCCTTCAGGCCAGATAGCATGTGGAGGGACACTGAGGGGCAAGATAGTGCTGTCCACACACAGGCATGCACACAAGTGGCCGACAGTTTGAGAGTCTAGATGTCCAGTTACACACAGCCCCACAGCCTACCCAATAGCAGCCCCATGCCCTGCGCTGCAGGGAGACAGTACACAACACAGACCCCCGGAGGAGTGTACCCAATGTTAAATGACAGCAGGAAAGGGACCGAGTGAGGCATGAGATGGGGGGCCTTCTTGGAGGAAGGGACCACTAGCCTGTGCATTAAAGATGAGGTTACCAAAGGGGACACAAGCCTGAGAAATGGGGAAGTGGGTGCAAGGTGTGTCTATGAGGCTGGCAGAATCCCAACAGGGCAGGGCCTTGAGACCAAGGGCAGGATTTTTTTAACAGCTTTACTGAGGTATCGTTTACATACTATAAAATTCAGCCATTTATAAGTGTACAATTCAACGATTTGTAGTGAATTTACAGAGTTGTGCAACCATCATGACTACCAAGGGCAGAGTGTGAGCAAGGGGCCAGCCTTTGCTGGCTGGGACAGCCTCCCAGTTATCCCTGCTGCTGAGGGAGGGCCTCCTGGAGGAGGCTATGTTTCAGCAGGGCCTTCAGGACCCTGAGCTGCCACAGCCTGGGCAAGCCAGCTTTGCGGACTTGCATATCCTGGCTCATGGCACCAGTCCCCACACTTTCATGCTCACTCCTGACATCCCTGCTCCACCCTCCCCACCACACACACTCCTCCACCCACCTTGGTGGGCTGGTCTCCTTGGCCTCCAAGGGAGACAATATAGACAGACAGAC